GAATCATCTTCTGAAGAAGCAACGACTGAATCACCTTCTGAAGAAGTAACAACAGAATCACCTTCTGAAGGGCTAGCAACAGAGTCACCCTTTGAAGAAGCAACGACTGAATCACCTTCTGAAGAAGTAACAACAGAATCACCTTTTGAAGAACTAACGACAGAATCACCTTCTGAAGAAGCAACGACTGAATTACCCTCTGAAGAAGTAACAACAGAATCACCTTCTGAAGAGCTAACAACAGAATCACTCTCTGAAGAGGTAACAACGGAATCTCCTTCTGATGAAGGAACGACAGAATCACCCTCTGAAGAAATAACTACAAAGTCGCCTTCTGAAGAAACAACGACAGAATCACCCTCTTTAGAAGTAACGACTGAATTGCCTTCTGGAGTAGTAACAACTGTATCACCTCCTGTACAAGTGACAACAGAATCTCCTTCTGAAGAACCAACAACAGCACCACCCTCTGAAGAAACAGCGACAGAATCACCTTCGGAAGAAGCAACAACAGCGTCACCTTCTGAAGAAACAACAACAGAATCACCTTCTGAAGAAGTGACCTCAGCTTCCCCTTCTGAAGAAGCTACGGTAGTTTCACCTAACAATGCAACGACTGAATCGCTTAAGTCTACCTTATCGCTGAGAACCACTGCACCCACAATTGCCATTGGTACCGAAGGTCCCTCCGAGAGTTTAGATGTAGGAAGTCAAGTGAAACAAACCACAACAAAGAAATCCCCTTTAGCGGATACCACAACAGTATCACCGTCAGTAGAAGCTACGTCCGAGTCATCTTCGATTGATGCCACAACTCAGCCTCCTATAGTAGATGCCACAACTAAATCACCTCCAGTGGATGCCACAACAACAGAAAGCAGCAGTACTGGATTTACGCCAACACCATTGGTGCAGACTACGACCACCGCTTTTGAGGTTGTGTCCACTACTGACTCTCCAAACGCTATTGATTACATCTCCACCACAAAACCCACAAGTGCGATTGATAATGGTAATGGAATCGAGAATGGTAATGGTTCACAGGTTAAAGGAAGAGAGGAAGGAGAAGGTAAGCATTCCACAATATTGTCATTAATAATTAAAAAATACAAGACACACCGTGGAGAAAGACCCATGTTTCAGTTATCCTAAGCAATCTTCTGAGTATTCGAATGGATTATTTAAAACCGTGCTTGTGGCAATGTTTCCGATTCAGTTGACTGGTGTCGGTTCCGTAATTTGTAAATCCGTCATTTTTGTTTTGTTTTTCAACAGACAAGTGCAACCTGAAAAGGTGCAAGAATGGAACGATGTGCCGCGTAAACGGTGATGTCTTACCCGAGTGCCCCTGTCCGACTGAGTGTAGTGATGATGTGGATCCCCACTGTTCTGTGTATCTTGGAGACTATGAAAACCTTTGCAAGGTTCATCTTCACGCCTGCAAAATGCAAATCAACGTTGCTGTTAAGCATCGAGGACGATGTGCAGGTATGGGTCCTTTTCTTTTAAGTGAATACTTCCCACCCCCCACAAACGAAGTTTATTTCCTGTATCTGAAGAAACGTGAATATGTCACTCAAAACGACGGAAGTAAACCTCGTAGCTATGTGTCACTAAAGATATATTNATAACAACGACCGTGCAGAAGAATGGGTACCTCACAGGTGTGAAAATGCACGATTCCGGTATCTTTTGGGGGTTTGGAACACCATTCCCGACGAACATCCAGGTCAACTTTTTATGGGAGTTCCCTCCGGCGCCTTCTGTATATAGTCAGGCAAGAGTAGGAAATTTCTTATCCTTCTACCATCCCTTTCAAATTGTGATTTTTCTTTTGTTTCAATGTGTGATCACTACAGACTATGCACAAGGCCAACAGATATCAAAGCTGGCAGATGAGGCGCATGTTCCGACAGATGAATGCTTGGAAGATGAACTTCTCCAGTTCGCAGATCGTTTCCAAGAATGGGCATTAATCAACAAAGAAACTGATGAAAGTGAGGATCCTGCATCAGTAGACCTGAATGCTGCTGTCACGCAAACACGATTGACTGGGTGGACGGCATTAGAAAAGGAAGCAGTTTTAAAGGTAATTACTCGGCACTGAAACATTTACATGGTGGTTTTAGAGTATGTGGTGAATTCGTTTACGATATAAGGGGGCAATCGCTCGGAATGAAAGTATATTCCGGCTAATACGATACTTACAGAAAAAAGACCGGAATAAAAATCGAAGTATTTCAGAACGAGAACAGCTCCCAAACAAGAGCTTACACCTAACCTAATTTCCTTGTTCAGGATGGATAATTAAATACTTTCACTGCGAATACCTTGCCTTTCATAACACGGATTAGGCGAGCAATTTAACTAAAGTCAACGTGGTTATAAGAGGGTAACCGTCCATCAAGCGGGTGTCACAACGCGGACGGTTAAGTTAGAAGTGAAGAATGATAATCAATAACTAGATGAAGGAACGTAAGAACTTTGTAGTTCAGATGGTACTATGTAGACATTTGCAGTACTCAGCATGAGCAGAATGTCATATTCAGCAAGTGGCAGTCTCGGTAATACCGTAAGTAAGGCAATTAGTTCAGTTCAGCTCACGCTGAAAGATAATTGTGGTTGTTCGTTGGGAATGTAATATAAGTAATTAAAGTAAGGGTTAAGTCGCGTTCGAGCCCAGTTCGACTGTAATTCTCTTTTGACTGCTTTCTCTACCTCTAAATCATGTCTCTTTCTTATAGTTCCAGTTTAATGAAATTGACATCGACGAAAATGGCATTCTTGAAAAAGCTGAAATTGACGCAATGCTATTGCACGTTCCACACGAGGAATGTCTCTTTGGCTTCATGGTCTCATCGGACATTGATGGTGATCACGTGTTAAACGAAGAGGAATGGATGGAGGCCTTCAAAAATGTTGGAGGTTAGTATTTCAATTTGCCGACTCCTGATTACTACACCAACGACTTTGATATCTGCATTGATGGTGGGCCTTTGAACGATTTCGGCATCGGTATATTCAGAAGATTAATTCTGCGTTTGACCAAGAGATTATGGTTTGAGTGATACACTTTGTTCACGGTAACCACCATGTTTCTTTTATAAAGCAAATTAGCCATTTGGTGTCCAAGGGGGCAAAACAGAGAAACTTGGCCTGCAAGCATCTGTGCCAAAATTAGGGTCTTTGTTCGAAGTAATATTATTACTTTGGAACGTTCAATCTGTATTCTGACTAATTGTTTCAAAACAACTTGAATCAGTTGTTCTTTCACTTAAGCCCTACATAACCCATATTCGAGTGTGTTATTTACCACAATGCCTCAAATGTACAGCACATGAGAAAATCAATCGTTACACAAAGAACTGATCTCATTGAAATCTCCCGATTTTAAGTTGTTTGCTTCATCAGAAATCAAGTGTTTAATTTGCGTTATAATAGGAAAACATCATGATGGGTACTGTAAATGAAGCATGACGATAACGTGGTCATAGCCAGGCTACCAGAGGTACATTACCACGCGTGTCTTGCGTAGTCAGCCACAGGCCAAAGAAAAGGGCTGTGAAACCGAGAAATCATAATATATGGGCCTAAATCGGGACCGTGCAAGAAAGGCCTCTGGCAACTTTCTCCATAATTTCGGCAAAACATACAGCATCACATGGAGAAGTCCCAAACGGCTCTCATCTCCATGATCACACACACAATATTAAAAGACAAACCACATTAAGTGACGTCAAATTGGTGACGTTAAATTAAACGGTTTGGCATTGCTCCTAACAGATATATCGATCTATGTAGAAGATTTTTCCGTTGCATTCGAATCGGTTTTCTAATATTTACTTTACTTATTTCATTTACTTATTTCATTTCAGTTAACGACGTTGAAGACGTGAATGAAGTATAAACATCTCATGTGATGCTTCGAGGCCTCACCTCACCGACAGCTGCACCGGAGAAACGATCTTAATGGACTAATGACGTAACGCGTCTGTATATTTATCTCAACGCCAATGTTAAATAATTAGTTAATATAGGGTTTTGTTTCTTGAAGACGTTTCTGCAAATCTAAAAATTGCAATTAGCAAGTATTTTCTCGTTTGCATTTAGTGACAAATGCTATATAATCGATTTTTAGACCATTAGAAGACATCTTTATTCAAACGTCCGGATGAAGCGCCCAAGCAACGATAAAAGTCAGGTTTTTTGTATCTGTAGTTATAGTTATTAATTGTAGCGCATGCACAAGTTTTAGAATTTAAAAAAGGATTTACGATAAGTATTTTAATGACCCTTCAGTGAGAATTAAAATAAATGGGTTATTTGAACGGTCGTGCATTGGCGCAGATAGGAAATATATCCCGTCAAGATAGTCCTGACAAATTTTTACACCGAGACGGGGTAGCCCGTAATGGCCTAAAATCCTTTCTGGGAAAGGGAGTGACAAAATAAGAATTGGAAAACACCAGGAAACCGCTCTTAAAGTTGTTGTTCTACAGCTCCATGGAACGAGTGATTTTCTTTCTTATTCCAGCGATGTTTTCTAAAATTAAATAGAAAACATGTTCTTTGGACTTCAATCAAATGATAAGAACATTAGGGAAAATTTGGGAACACCCGAAAAAGCCACAGCTCGTGTCACCACAATGTTTCTCGTTCTCCCAAATTTCATTCTTCTCTTATTTAAGCAATAGAACATTTTTCCTTGTTTACATAGCCTCTTCTAAACACGACAGGGTTTAGAGAATTCGACAGTTATGCAAACCCGAGATGCATTCGAGGGTTTGCATAACTTTCGAGAATACTCCCAACCTTCC